CTCCAGACGACGCTTAGCATTGCGTATGGTGATCTTAGGCTTGTGTTCGTCTGCTCGGCCATGGAAACCTATTTCATGAAGCTCCCAATGAACAGTTATTGTGCTGACGTTGCTTCCAGAGGCAGTTTGGAACTCAGTAGTGAGTGTTGCAACTGAGGACAGACCATTTTTACACGCTACGCGCTTCAGCAATCGGGGGTCCCGTTCTGTGAGCTTGTGTGGCCTACCACTTCTCGGCTGAGCTGTTGTTGCTCCTAGACATTTCCACTTCACAATAATAGCACTTACAGTTGACCGGGGCAGCTCTAGCAGGGCTCTTCAGTAAGGCCATTCTACTGCCAATGTTTGTTTATGGAGATTGCATGGCGGTGTGCAAATTATTATTTTTTTACACCTGTCAGCAACAGGTGTGGCTGAAATAGCCGAATCCACTATTTCAAATTATTTTCTAGGAAATATAAAGACGAGCACATTTGCTCATTCAACACGCCAAGAGTGTGCAAAGCCGTCATCAAGGCAAAGGGTGGCTATTTGAAGAAAATCAAATATAACATATTTTGATTTGTTTAACACTTTTTTGATTACTACATGATTCCATGTGTTATTTCATAGTTTTGATGTCTTCACTATTATTCTACAATGTAGAAAATAGTACAAATAAAGAAAAACCTTGAATGAGGTGTTCTAAAACGTTTGACCGGTAGTGTATATATCTTGACAAGTTGATTGCTGACATGCAAAACATTTTGGGACTATATCAACATTGGACTAATGAAACAAATACCAAAAGATCATTTTTGGGTGGAATTTTCCTTTAACACATAGATGTGAACAGGGGTTACAGCAGCAGGTAGACCTACTACAATAGAAGCATCTATTACACAGGTTATTGTAGGGTAACCCGCATGGTGTTACAAAAAAAGCAGTTCTCATATAAGAGTTTGCATTTATTTGACGTTTTCAAATAGTCCATACACTTCTCTTGAAATAAAAAAACAATTATACAAAACGATCCTACATTATTCGTTACACAACTCCATTCTTGTGGCAAGATCATCGTTCGTTATCTTCTCAAAATTGTCAAGAGGAAAGTCCCTGATAGTGTTCCGTTGATTTCAAAATGGGGTTTGTTTTGATGTCTTATCATAAAAACACTAGTATACTGTATCCCAATAGAGAGATCTAATAAGAATTCTGGATCAGGTATATTCTATTATATCATCATGAAAATGTTTTCAGATGCTTTATCGTAAGTCAGAAGATCACACATTTCAAAGCTTTACAATAAAAGGTAACTTCACTGCAGTGCCAGGAGTAGCTGTGTAACATTGCAAATCCAAAACAGTTGGAGAACTTGGCATACCCGCATCAAATTTGGGAAGTTAAAGGAAGAATCCACCCAAACACTGTGGTATTTGTTTCATCAGTACATTGTTGATAGAAATACCAAAATATAGTTTTTGAGTGGAGTTTTCATTTCAAATGTGACTGTGAGGGATCTTGACCACAGTGAGGACAGAGTTACAGGGCCTTTGAACCCAAGACCCACATCGCTTGAGCTTGTATTTTATTTTCAATTATGTTATCTCAATAGAAAGTACAAGTGAAATATCATCTTACATAAATTACTACGGGTCATAGTGATAAGGGAGTTAGAAAAAGTATTTAATAAATCTTCAATATCACTGTGGGATACTCTACAGTTGTTTCACTTTCTGTATTAGTAGCAAAACAACTCAATTGAGGGAAAGAAATATAGATATACGATCCCGTTCAACTTCATTTCACAGACCCGGTGAGTTCGTTAAAGTGTAGTGCCACCCGCTGGTCAACATATGGAACAATGCATAAAACAGAGGAAATGGTACTGAGCAACGAGTTCTCCATCTCTGAAAAGACTGAGGTTATCCAACAAACACGTCAAATCATGTGCCAGATACCAGTTGCAACATCTTAAAAAGACAGTTTTCATAGTTTTTTTTAATCGAAGCAATCAAAGTCCACACAGTCATTCATGGCTCGGTGAAGTGCCCCCAACTGTGAGAACAGTAGTGAAACAACAGGTAGAGCTACAACACAGTCAAATCATGGTAAATATGATTATTTCATCAAATTGGTGCATACATGTTCAACTATACAATCTAGCAAAGAGATGCTAAACTAAAAGGGAAGATGTGCTTATATTTCATATATAGGCAGTCTACATCCCAAAGCATTCAGATACACTTAAAAAAATACAATTTTATATGTACATAAGAAAAAGGCTTGCGGAGAGCTTATAAAAAAATAACTATAATAGTCGTGAAGAATATTGACTTCTGAACAAATGAAAGTTTACAATGGGTGAGTGGAGAGCGCCATAGGCCAGAGGAACGGTATTCCAGCAAAACAGCAGGCCTCTTCCTCCAATAACTGCAAAGGGGCAGTAGAGGTACTGGGGCTGGTAAGTAAAGAGGTTGTCTGGGGGGGTTTCAATTCTGAAACTCAAAATTGGGTGATGTATTTAGTCTACCCAATTAGCCATGGTGGGAAATCAAAATATACAAGATGCACTCTCCTCTCAAAAACTGACCAAGGATCAGAGTACATAAACATTATTTTAATGCTAAGATTTGAGTATATACACACACACCACATGACCAGAAGTATGTAGACACCTGCTCGTCGAACATCTCATTCCAACATCATGGGCATTAATATGGCGTTGGTCCCCCTTTTGCTGCTATAACAGCCTCCACTCTCCTGGGAAGGCTTTCCACTAGATGTTGGAACATTGCTGCGGGGTATTGCTTCCATTCAGCCACAAGAGCATTAGTGAGGTCGGGCACTGATGTTGGGCGATTAGGCCTGGCTCGCAGTTGGCGTTCCAATTCATCCCAAAGGTGTGAAAAACAGCCCCAGACCATTATTCCTCCTCCACCACCACCAAACATGACAGTTGGCACTCTGCATTCGGGCAGGTAGCGTCCTCCTGGCATCCGCCAAACCCAGATTCGTCCGTGGGACTGCCAGATGGTGAAGTGTGATTCATCACTCCAGAGAACGCGTTTCCACTGCTCCAGAGTGCAATGGCGGCGAGCTTTACACCACTCCAGCTGACGCTTGGCATTGCACATGGTGATCTTAGGCTTGTGTGTGGCTGCTCGGCCATGGAAACCCATTTCATGAAGCTCCCGACTAACAGTTATTGTGCGGATGTTGCTTCCAGAGGTAGTTTGGAACTCGGTAGTGAGTGCTGCAACCGAGGACAGACGATTTTTACACACTACAGCACGCGGCGGTCCCGTTCTGTGAGCTTGTGTGGCCTACCACTTCGCGGCTGAGCCGTTGTTGCTCCTAGACGTTTTCACTTCACAATAACAGCACTTACAGTTGACCGGGGAAGCTCTAGCAGGGTAGAAATTTGATGAACTGACTTGTTGGAAAAGTGGCATCCTATGACGGTGCCACATTGAAAGCCACTGAACTCTTCAGTACAGCCATTCTACTGGCAATGTTTGTCTATGGAGATTGCATGTCTGTGTGCTCGATGTTATACACCTGTCAGCAACGGGTGTGGCTGAAATAGCCGAATCCACTCATTTGTATATATAGTGTATCAACATTGTTACACTCATAAAAATGTTGTTTCAACAAACTTTAGTGGGTCTAATGAAAAATGTACACCTGGGCAAAAGTATCGGATACACTAGGGACATACCAGAACTTCAGATCCACAAGCATAACCCTAATTTCCGTGGAAATCCCCCCCCCCCCATGACATCAATGTAAAATCTAGGCACAATTTAAATCAGCGTTGGCATTTCAAGTATACATTTGGCCCTTACTGAACAGCAGGCAGAGATTATGTTCCTTTCACACCCTTCACCCAAGTGATGAATGTTAACCCAGAGGTTGTCCAAGGTATGTCCATCACATTCTCATTCAGTTTGGGAGAACACTAAAAAGTATCACGGCACAGTAACTGTGATAGAAACAAGTGTCGGGACGTGAGAACGGCATTGACAGAAGGACACAGCCACCTAATCTGACATCCTTATTCCTGTCCATCTCCGGCTTTGGAGAGTGGGGCTACTAGTGATTAAAGCCACGGGGGCATTAAAACAGTGGGAAGTTTGCGTCAACATCAGCGGGAGGAGAGTTGTGGCTTGTGCAACAGTCAACCTATAATCACTACTGAACTATGGAAGTGGCACTGACGACAACAACTAGAGGACAAAGCTAATGTGGTGCCATGAAAGTCAAAACACTGCCATTCACAACTTTGAAACAATTCATTACTACGCTGTGAATAATGAGCCCAATACATGCTGGGAATGACTGTTGCCAACTACAAGCCCGGTCATTTGTCGAGTAAGAGGATTATTTTAAAATAGGAAATGGGCATGCTTAAATATAATTCCCATTGCCTGTGGTTGTAGGTGGTTGGATGGAAGAGTGAGGCAGCGGGCGACTTTTGAGACCTGAAGGAGGTGAACAAAACAGTGTTCTCTCCACAGACCTGTCCTCTGGTACTATGGATGGACGTGTCTAATAAACTTTGGATTTGCATCTTGGGCACCTTAGGACAGGCGGTTGGAACCATGAAAATGTATTTCTCACACACCATTGACATGTCTCAGACACCATAGATATCCGAGACCGAGTGCCCTGTTTCTTCCAGGTAGCATAGACGTTCTTCAGTTAGGCAACTTTACTGAGTCACAGGCTGAGCAGGTCCCGTTCCCGCTCCTCAATCAACCTTGTGTGACACGCATCCTTATATTCAGCTCCTCGCTTCGCCATTTGTAAAGAAAATTATAATAAAATAAAATAAACATGATTGAGGAAAATAAAACAGCAGAAAGAGTAAGTAAATATTGTACAAAAACAAAACATAGCAGGAAAATTAGAAGAGCAAAAAATTAACAAAAGAGCTATGAAAACGCTGACAGGCTGCCCCGTCGCCTGAGTCCACGTGTCCATTTCTCCTTCAGTCAGTGACATCAGTCTGTCTGACATTATGAGATTACCTCTGTGTGGGAGGGCGCTGAGTCCACCAGTGTCACCTGCTCCTCGGCCGAGTCCAGCTCCTCCGTCTTGATGATGATGGCTCCCTCCTGGAGCATCACCTCCTCGCTGCCCGACGTCTCCACCTGCACCTCCTCCACCTCCTCCTCCTCCTCCTCCTCACCCCCAACCACCTCCTCCTGCTCTGAGGTGCCGTTGGTATGGCTGTGCGACATTGCCTCCAGCTTCATGCGGTACTGCTCTGCTTCCTGCTCCTTGCACATCAGCTGCTGCCGGTACTCCTGGGCCTTCCTGTTGGCCTCCTGCAGCTGCCTCTGTAATTGCTCCTGGATGGAGGGATGGATGGATAGATAGAAAAAAGGAGACCAAAAGGTCAGACTGCAGGTCACACACTTGCACCCCACTTGTGCCAACTGCACAGTATCAAAGTACCAAAATAATCTATGGGTTTCTCTTATAATCTATGCAAAAACAACATTTTCACAGCTGCTAGAATCTCTAGAGCAATATTAAATAAAACTGGTTAAATGGCAGAAGCATATCAGTTCAATGTGTTGCACAAGAAAAAATCATCTAAGATGTGGTCCCCCCCTGACCGTGTCTCCAGACTCCATGTGATTAGCAGAGGCCTCCAGTTTCCTCTTGCGGGCGGGCGGGGGCTGGGGTTCCTCTTCAACCACCTCCTCTGTCACCTGATTGGCTGGCATCGCCAACACTGCAAATCAACAGACAACAGTTCAGAGCCTGGAGGATCATACAGTCTCGAAAGTGAATATAGGTTACTTATTGAAATACAGTGCATTCGGAAAGTATTCAGACCACTAGACCTTTCCCCCAAAAAAAATACGTTACAGCCTTATTCTAAAAAGGATTAAAATCGGTTTTTCCACCCATTAATCTACACAAAATACCCCATAATTACAAAGCAAAAACAGGTTTTTCCCAATTTATTAAAAATAAAAAACTGAAATATCACATTGCACAAGTATTCAGACCCTTTACTCAGTACTTTGTTGAAGCACCTTTGGCAGCGATTACAGCCTTGAGTCTTCTTGGGTATGACGCTACAAGATTGGCACACCTGTATTTGGGGAGTGTCTCCCATTCTTCTCTGCAGATCCTCTCAAGCGCTGTCAGGTTGGATGGGGAGCATCGCTGCACAGCTATTTTCAGGTCTCTCCAGAGATGGTCGATCGGGTTCAAGTCCGGGCTCTGGCTGGGCCACTCAAGGACATTCAGAGACTTGTCCCGAAGCCACTCTTGCATTGTCTTGGCTGTGTGCCTATGGTCGTTGTCCTGTTGGGAGGAGAACCATCACCCCAGTGGGAGGTCCTGAGTGCTCTGGAGCAGGTTTTCATCAAGGATCTCTCTGTACTTTGCTCTGCTCATCTTTCCCTCGATCCTGACTAGTCTCCCAGTCCCTGCCACTGAAAAACATCCCCACAGCATGATGCTGCCACCCCCATGCTTCACCATTCAGGCCAAAGACCTCAATTTTGGTTTCATCAGACCAGAGTTTTTTTCATGGGAGTTGTTTAGGTGCCTTTTGGCAAACTCCAAGCGGGCTGTCATGTGCCTTTTACTGAGGAGTGGCTTCCGTCAGGCCACTCTACCATAAAGGCCTGATTGGTGGAGTGCTGCAGAGATGGAAGGTTATCCCATCTCCACAGAGTAACTCTGGAGCTCTGTCAGAGTGACCATTGGGTTCTTGGTCACCTTCCTGACCAAGGCCCTTCTCCCCCGACTGCGCAGTTTGGCAGGGCGGCCCGTTCTAGGAAGAGTCTTGGTGGTTCCAAACTTCTTCCATTTAAGAATGATGGAGGCCACTGTGTTCTTGAGGACCTTCAATGCTGCAGAAATGTTTTGGTACCCTTCCCCAGATCTGTGTCTCGACACAATCCTGTCTCGGAGCTCTACGGACAATTCCTTCGACCTCATGGCTTGATTTTTGCTCTGACATGCACTGTCAACTGTGGGACCTTATATTGACAGGTGTGTGCCTTTCCAAATCATGTCCAATCAATTGAATTTACCACAGGTGGACTCCAATCAAATTGTAGAAACATCTCAAAGATGATCAATGGAAACAGGATGCACCTGAGCTCAATTTCGAGTCTCATAGCAAAGGGTCTGAATACTTATTTAAATAAGGTATCTATTGTTTTTTTATTTGCAATAATAATCTAAAAACCTGTTTTCGCTTTGTCATTATGGGGTATTGTGATGAGGAAAATATATCTTAGAGTAACGCTGTAACGTAACAAAACGTGGAAAAGGGAAGTGGTCTGAATACTTCCCGAATGGACTGTTCATTAATGATGAAGTAGAACACAGTGTTCTACAAAGCAACTAGCACAAAACAATCTGCCCAGAAAGCTAAAAACCATTGTCTACAAATACAAGGTTCACATTGTCACAACAATAAGGTTTCTTGTAGGGTAAGTGGACATTCCACCATATTGCTAAACGTACTGACTACTTTAATGCGGTGTTCATAACCAATGAGAAGGGGGTAATTACCAGTTGTGAAGTCATAAATACCAATTGGATGCATTCACGTTCTTTGAACTCGTTGAGAAACACAGATTGGCTAATGGCCAACAAGCTGTGTCAACGATATTAATAGATTACTTTTTATAAATAATGTTTTGTTGTTGCATTCAACTGCCGAAAAAGCTTTATCGAGGTAATTTCCTCAGTAGGTGACCTCAGGTCAGCATGTGGGAAAAGTCAGACTTCCAGGATGATGGATGAGTTTTCCACTAGTAATAGTAGTATCAGTTGGAGGGGCGAGCAGATTTTTCCCCAGTCCTATGTGGTAAATACCACCTTCCCACTTGATTATGTACGCAGCATTAGAACATCAAGTGCCGGTTTCCTAGACCCAGAGAAAGCATACTCTTAGACTAAAAAGAGCTTTCAATTGAGATTCTCCAATGAGCGTGCTTTTTAGTCCAGGAGTAGGGTCCGGGAAACTGTTCCCAAATGGATAGGGGCTATGGGATGTGGCTACAGGCTGAAATGGAGCAGGGACTATGTTAAGTGACCAAAAGCAAGACGTTCTCTTACTCTGTTGTCCATGCTGCATTGTGACAAAGAATGGCTGACCAAGCCCTCCAGTCTGCAGGTTGCCGTGTTGGTCGGTCACTATGGTGATGACCCTTTGACCTTGCTCGTTCACCATGTGCTGGATGCTGCCGGGGTCCAAAGAATTGGCTGCTATGGCTTCCTCAGATTCACCTGCTTTCAGACAAGGGGTCAAAGAGGGAGAGAGGAGGAAAAAGTTCACTTTTCCTGTCGACTGCAGTTCTTGTATTAGGAAATAGTTCATAAGCCTATCTACAATATACTTTGTGGCAGTCAACATGTCGACTCAATATTCTCATTTAAATAAGCATTACATACAGTAACATGCTAAAGCTCAAAGGAATTCAAGCTGTGAGAAAGTATTTACATCTGAACGGTGAGAATTAATGTCTCTTTTCTGCATGACCTTTTATTCCCACATATCACACATTGTGGTGGTAGCTTTGTGTGGGTCCACACAGCATCAGCAGACCTTATCAGCTTATGAGATCAGAGTGATAAAGGCCAGGGACTAGGCACTAGACTAGAGAAAACAAAGAAGCTTGGGGCATATTGCTCTGAGGCAGGGGGATCCTTGAACTCCGATGCAGCCGTTAACTGGAGAAACCAGCTGGGGTTTTTTTCACCCGAGACGGACTGGGTGGTTTTTTTCTTTTCTTTTCCATAACATAAAAGCAGTAAGAAGGACACATTTCAGCCACAAAACCTTTGTCAGAAGACCAGTCATTTCAAATAGTATGAACACTAACGCAACTGGAGGTTTGGTGTCTGTGTGTATAAACCCAGTAGCTACCAGAGTTGATGTTGTTGAGGAGGTCGGCCAGGTTGACCACGCCCCCCTGGAGCCTACCCGAGTTGGCCTTGGCAGCGTTGTTGAGGAGGTCCGCCAGGTTCACCACGCCCCCCTGTAGCCCTGGGATGCCCTGGATGATAAACTGAGGCTGGGCCGAGCTCCCAGTCATGCCAGCCTCTGCGTTCATGTTCACCTGGTTCTGCATTCCCTCCTATAGACAAACACATTGTCAACACTGTCAGAGCATACATACAACAGCACCACAGACAGGGGAGACTGCCAGGATAGAAATCATAAGAGTTACTACAAACAAAGGAGAGGTCAGTTGTGCATTGAAATAAGAAGTAACGCAAGTAATGTATTTGGATAATTATGTAAATGCATTGCAATCCTAAAGGAGCATACTGTCAAAGAACTTCAAAATAATATATTTTTGGAACAAGTCCTTAGGTACATTTTACATTTTTGGAATCTAGAATAATAGTGCATGGAGACCTTTCAATAAGACTCCACATACAACTTAATGTCTCACCTGTAGTAGGAGCATAAGGTCTGCATTCTGGATGTCTCCTGCGATGTCGAATGGAGTCTTATCGAATTTACTGAGAGCGTGAACATCGGCGCCATGTTTGACGAGCGTCTCTGCTACCCTTTGGTGGCCGTTCTGGGTGGCCCAGTGGAGAGCCGTCATCTTCAGCATGTCTTTGGCATTAATGTCTGCTCCACTCTGTAGAGAGTGATCCAGGAGAAATAAGGGGGAGAGGGTAAGACACCTGGCAGATTTGGCAGTTTTTCTGCTTTCTTCGCACAAGTAACCACATTTTCTAGTGTACTTAGATTTAAGACATTTTGGTCAGAGACATCTAGGTCTGCATCTGAAATTGGCCTCTGGTCAAAAGCAGTGCACTATATTAGGAATAGGGTGCCAGGTCAGACACAACCTAGATTTCAGGCCTAAACACACAGAATAAACAGCTAAAACCTTAGATAGAGATGTTTGTGACGTGTGTACCCTGACTAATAGATCCACGATGAGGGTGTGGCCCTCTGAAGCGGCCATATGCAGAGGGGTCCTGTCCACTTTGGTTCGGGCGTCCCTGCTGACGCCTGCCCTGAGCAGCACCTCGGCGGTGGAATAGTGTCCGTGTTGGGCGGCCAAGTGCAACGGAGATGTACCCAGCTGCTCAGAGGGACAAAGAGTCAAAACACCATATAGGTGGATTGGACTGGCACTTCAGACCATTTTTTACTTATGAACTTGAGTATCTTGTTTTGCATTTAGAGCACACAAACCAGCCAAAACCCTGAGGTGGGTAAAAGTCATTAAACTGAAGCAGATAATAAAAATTGCCCGGATAGAGAAGTTAAGAGAGGAATCATTACCCAGTCTGTGGTGAAGGGAGCCCCGTTGGCCATTAGCGTCCTGACTTCATCGTCCTGGCCTTTCCGTGCGGCCTCAAGTAGCCGCTTCCCCAAATCCACCAGCGACATCTGAGACAACACAATTACAAAGGTTGCAGCATTTATTTCCCATTTGATTGTACACGTATTCCACTGTTGCAGTATATTTTCACTGAGGTAGGGCCCTGTGTTTTGGTTAATCGTGTCACATGACCTGGATTTTAACCTTTATTTAATGCTTTTTCGTCAAACTGTCCCCTTTTCTTTTTATGTCAAAAGGTGCAGCACCATCCTCAAACAATTGATTTCATTTTTGGTCCAATTCTCTTTTCTGAAAAAGGCTTAAAATAAAAGGTTAAAATCCAGGTCATGTGACATGAAACCAAAACACAGGGCCCTACTTGATAAAGTATGTACTTTTATGCCAGATTTTGAAACTCAATAATGGGTTAGGGTTCTCATGCATTTTTGGCTAGCTTAATCAAATGAGAGGACTCAGTCCTAGCAGATATTTACACATGAACATAGCTAGATGTGTTTTAAATCATACCTCAGATCTTACATGCATAAAGTTAAGTTATGTTAGATACATTTTGTTTAACAACAGCAGTCATCATGGAAGTACTCTAGTAGTAATGGAACTTACAACTTTGACTCATCACATAAGCTGCTGTTACTGTTTATGCTGTTGCCTAGTCACTTTACCCCTACCTATAGGTACACTATATATACACAAAAGTATGTGGACACCCCTTCAAATTAGTGGATACTGCTATTTCAGCCCCACCCGTTATTGACAGGTGTATAAAATCAAGCAAACAGCCATACAATCTCCATAGACAAACATTGCCAGTAGAATGGCCTTACTGAAGAGCTCAGTGACTTTCAATGTGGCACCGTCATAGGATGCCACCTTTCAAAAAAAAAGTCAGTTCGTCAAATTTGTGCCCTGGTCAACTGTAAGTGCTGTTATTGTGAAGTGGAGTCTAGGAGCAACAACGGCTCAGCCGCAAAGTGGTAGGCCACACAAGCTCACAGAACGGGACCGCCGAGTGCTGTAGCGCGTAGAAATAGTCTGTCCTCAGATACAACACTCACTACCAAGTTCCAAATGGCCTCTGGAAGCAATGTCAGCACAAGAAAACTGTTTGTCGGGAGCGTCATGAAATGGGTTTCCGTGGCCGAGCAGCCGCACACAAGCCTAAGATCACCATGACCAATGCCAAACGTCAGCTGTAGTGGTGTAAAGCTCGCCGCCATTGGACTCTGGACACGTTCTCTGGAGTGATTAATCAGCTTCATTATCTGGCAGTACGATGGACGAATCTGGGTTTGGCGGATGCCAGGAGAACGCTACCTGCCCGAATGCATAATGCCAACTGTAAAATTTGGTGGAGGAGGAATAATAGTCTGGGGCTATTTTTCATGGTTCAGGCCCCTTAGTTCCAGTGAAGGGAAATCTCAACGCTATAGCATACAATGACATTCTAGACGATTCTGTGCTTCCAACTTTGTGGCAACAGTTTGGGGAAGGCCCTTTCCTGTTTCAGCATGACAATGCCCCCGTGAACAAAGCGATGTCCATACAGAAATGGTTTGTCGAGATCGGTGTGGAAGAACTTGACTGGCCTGCACAGAGCCCCGACCTCAACCCCATCTAAAACCTTTGGGATTGATTGGAACGCCGACTGCGAGCCAGGCCTAATCACCCAACATCAGTGTCCGACCTCACTAACGCTCTTGTGGCTGAATGGAAGCAAGTCCCCGCAGCAACGTTCCAACATCTAGTGGAAAGCCTTCCCAGAAGAGTGGAGGCTGTTATAGCAGCAAAGGGGGGGGACCAACTCCATACTAATGCCCATAATTTTGGAATGAGATGATTGACGAGTAGGTGTCCACATACTTTTGGTCATGTAGTGTACATTTATAATCTGGGCGGTTTGAGCCGTGGTATGACAAAACATTTATTTTTACTGTTCCAATTACGTTTGTAACCAGTTTATAATAGCAATAAGGCACATTGGAGGTTTGTGGTAAATGGTCAATATACCATGGCTAAGGGCTGTATCCAGGCACTCCGCGTTGCGCATAAGGGCCATATACCACACCCCCTTGTGCCTCATTGCTTAACTCTACCTCAATTTCCTCGTACCCCTGCACATGGACTCATTGTGCATTTTTCTCTCTACACTGTTGGGAAGTGGCCGTAAGCATTCCACTGTTATCCAACACTTGCTGTTTACGAAGCATGTGACAAATACAGTGATTTGATTTACAACTTTGCGTTTATTGTAAGAAATCAATTGTGAAATAGACGCGCTTTCGTTCTGTGGAGTGTCTGTGCGAAATGACTCCGGAGACAACACTGGTTTGTTTATATTACTGCTGCATAGACTCGTGCAATACAGGCGAATGAGTCTAGCCAATCCCCTATACATACTTATCAGACGTTCCATTTGAGCACAACACAATGAATGTTGTAAAGTAATGATGTTAGTGGTTATGCTACATATCTAACGTACATCACTCAAAACCCTTTATCACTCAATGCTGACATAATACGTGAAGGTAGTTCTCCGTAACGTCCAACAGGTAATAGGCTACCTATACATCTGGAAATCGTGTTTTGATCTGTGGCATGCCTGGGTAAACAATTACCCAGTCACAAAGTAATATGTTCGTAAATTGTGAATAGCTGATTTGCACTTTTTTTGTTGTCGTTACATTGTAGCTAGCTGGTTGGTTATCGGTGACTCATTATTGCCACAATCATGAAAGCCCACTAACACGAGGCTCTCTTCATTGCAAAAGCGTGATGATGATGGAGACGACGAGTAGCCATCTTATGCGCCTCGGTTGTGAAAATGAACAAGGGGCGGCCATGTGTCACATTATCCGTTAAATCATTCACCCACATTATTTAACAACCAACAACAAAGACATTTAAATACATGACAGGAAACACTGATATTAAAGTTGTTGGTTTTCCGGGGGAAGTCAGAGAAATTCCTATTTTACACGAAGAGAAAAAACTACTTCCACATCCGGTTAACAGCATTCTTTCTCGTATGCCTCAAATGGTTTCGCGCAATTTCATATTTGAACGTTAGATTTATTCACAATTGCTTGCTTGTCAAAGACGTGAGACGCAATCACCTTAACGTACGAGTATTTATACCATCTCCTATGAGCCTGATGGCGACAGGTTTGTTATCTAACCAACCATGTAGCTAGCTAGCTAGCTAACGTTAGCAAGCAATAACGTCATCTACATTAGCTACAGTAGTTAGCAACGTTAACGAGATTTAAAAGTATGAACATGCACTTTTAAGAAATGGGAAAGTTCTACAAACTGTTTGGTGCGCACGAGGAATGGATTTTCACACAATGTGCCAACTTCAAAACTACCACGTTGTTGAGTTACTCGGTCTCGTTGCTAGCCAGATTTAAGATATGTTCCACATAGTTAGCTAATGCCTGGCTAACTTTAATAACAGCAAACGCTAGCTAGCTAGCTGGAGGCGGAATCCCTAATGGAAGCAAGCTAACGTTGTGTAGTTCTTACCTCGATAAGGCTTCAAATGAATGCTCTTATGATGCGGACATAAGTTCCTTGACTATACCAAATTATTTTCTCCTCACCTTAGTTAATGAAAATAAATATTATTTTTGTATTTGAACGGATACAAAGATGGCGGCTACTCGACACCGGAGGTGGAAACCGAGCCTTTTGAACCCTCTTGTGGGCGGGCGCATGACTTGGAAAAAGTCGCAAGATCAGGCTGTTCTCCTTCAATGGCCACTTTAACTCATTACGGTAAAAAGGCGAAACTGAATTTATATCCGCGCCCATGATGAGACCTGCACCCCTTGCCCATGCTATAAAATATACTGAACAAAAATATCAACACAACAATTAACGATTTTACTGAGTTACAGTTCATATAAGGAAATCAATCAATTGAAATAAATAAATTAGGCCCTAATCTATGGATTTCACATGACTGGGGGCCAGGCCCACCCACTGGGGAGCCAGGCACAGACAATCAAAATGAGTTTTTCCCCACAAAAAGGGCTTTATTACAGACATAAATACTCCTCAGTTTCATCAGCTGTCTGGGTGGCTGGTCTCACATGATCCTGCAGGTGAAGATGCAAGATGTGGAAGTCCTGGGCTGGCGTTGTTACACGTGGTCTGTGGTTGTGAGGCCGGTTGGTCTTACTGCCAAATTCTCTAAAAGACGTTGGAGGCGGCTTATGGTAGAGAAATGAACATTCTCTGGCAATAGCACTGGTGGACATTCCTGCAGTCAGCATGCCAGTTGCACGCTCCCTCAAAACTTGAGACATCTGTGGCGTTGTGTTACAAAACTGCACATTTTAGAGTGGCCTTTTATTGTCCCCAGCACAAGGTGCACCTGTGTAATGATCATGCTGTTTAATCATCTTCTTGATATGCCACACATGTCAGGTGGATGGATTATCTTGGCAAAGGAGAAATGCTCACTAACAGGGATGTAAACAAATGTGTGTACAAAATTGTAGAGAAATAAGCTTTTTGTGCCTATGGAACATTTCTGGGATATTTTATATCAGCTCTTGAAACATGGGACCAACATGTAACGTTTATATTTTTGTTTAGTATATATATATATCGTTTCAAAGCATGTTTGCAAGGGAAAATTCAGTTCTATGTGCACTTTGAGCAGCACTCTTTATTCGCAGGCAGCTAGGCCTATTTCTAATGGATTATTTTTTTATTTGCTATGATACTTACTCAGACATTTGACATAGTTTCTGTCTGATTAATAGCCCCATTTTTGTGATCTAGTAGCTTGTTTTTTTATACTAGCTGCTAATAGCCTAGGCAACCGATAGTGCACTAGATCTGCACTATCGTCTAGGCTTGATGTGCATTCCCTGTAAAACAGTCGTGTCCCCCGTGTACCAGCTCGTACATAAAGCATCCTCCATTCAGGATGCAAAGGCATAATTTTCCTCCTTAACTAGCATTAATGGAAAGAAGGCGGAAAAACTGGGGAAATATGCATACTTTCTTTATGAAACACGATTTTCTGAGAACTGTTGCACACCCTTGGCTGAACCACAGCGTTTCTAAACCCAGAGACGCAACATCGCAAGACTTCTGGGAGCGCTTGCGAAACAGACCAGGCCAGGGTTTGGGGTTTAAGAAGTCATCGAAAGAAGTGAAAATGTCTTCCTTTTTAGTTGTTAATTTTCTCTAAATCTAAAGGCACAACCTAGATTCAAGCCAATGTCTTAAGTAGTTCTAGAGAAGCAGTTTCAGCCTATCTTCAATCTGTACTGTCTTTGGTTACACTTCTTTCTGTACGGGAGTGTCTCCACGCTTCACTATACAATTTGTTTTTCTCCAGACAATTTAGGATGTAGCCCACCGCGTTCATCGACAGGCCAGGGTTCAGCCAAAGACACATGCCGCTATCAAAACAACTGGGAACTTTGGATAAATACAAAGTCAAATCATGATGTCAGTGATCTTCAGGTCGGAAAGTCGGAGCTCTAGTATGACCATTGAAATCGATTTTTTCCAGTTGAAGCTCGTTTTTTCTCCAGATGTTTTGAACGCTCGGAAGTCTGACATTTCCAAGTTCCGAGCTCCCAGTTGTTTTGAACGCGGCAACACTTGTAGGCATGACGTCATAGCGACGTTGGACTAGCTAAACTCATGCCTAGAAACACGTCATTGGGTCTAATGCCCCGTTCAAAACAACTCGGAACTGGGAAACTCTGAAATCTCAGACTTTTGACTTCAGTGCGTTCAAAACAACTGGGAACTCGGGGGAAAAAACGAGCTCCGACTGGGAAAAATCGATTTAAATGGTCATCCAACTCGGAATTCCAACTCTGGAACGCTGGCCTCTTTCTAGAGCTATGACTTTCCGACCTGAAGATCACTGACGTCATGAGATTGACCTTGTATTTTTCAGAGTTCCCAGTTGTTTTGAACGACAACGGTCGTCTCGCGCAGAACTGTGAATGTGCAGGTCATCAACTCAAAGGCACTCCTTTCGATATATTTTAAAAATATATATTTAAACGTGTCCGTTTGTCACTTTCACGAGGTTGGAGTAATAACATGTTCAACTACTTAAGACATTGGCTCGAATCTAGGTTGTGCCTATAGATTTCGAGAAAATGAACAACTAAGGAATCATTGACTTCTCAAACCCCGGCCTGGTCTGTTTGACAAGCCGCTATGTTGTGCCTCTGGGTTTAGAAACTATGTGGTGTACTGACACTTGCCTAGGTAGGCCTGTTAAGATCCACCTAAAGGGTTAACCCTTATTGGAGCAGTGGTTAGCACGTCTTGTCTGCCTACGCACTTGGAGACCCGGGTTCGAGACCTGCAAGGAATGTTGCCATTCGCAATAATTGAACAATATAAAAACTGTTAAAATTAAAATTTTGCAAATTTCTGTCCGATGTCTATCAGAGTACCTAAATAGGTTACAATGAATACTAATGTGCAGTGCACCTAGGTATTTTAATGAAAGTGTAATGGTCCCATGTACTGTCATAGGCAGAGCTTTTAATTCACAATCTACTATTGTACGAAACCTGTAGCGTTGTTTTATACCAAATGCCCCAAAGGAAGCTGTTTAGTATTATTCCAATAAGAATCCTGAAAAAGCTAATAGTTATCCAGTAAACCATATATTTTATTGGGTGTCTGAAGGACAAAACAGGAGTCCATAGCCTACTCTGGCAGTTGGTGGTGTTCAAGAAGCCTCTAAAAGATTGACCTCTATTTTTTTTTAACAACACCTGCTGTTCACAAACTGTCAATTTTATGCCTACAAGGTGCATGGTCGTTTTTACACTGAAGCCGGTTTGATGAGACATCTCGCCTACGACGTTTTTGTAAGTGAAATGTGAAATGAAACCTTACATTCTCAATTTATTTCAAAAGCTGTACATAGTGATTAATGCTTATGTACAGTGCATTCGGAAAGTATTCAGACCCCTTGACTTTATCCACTGTTACTGCCTTATTCTAAAATTGATTAAATAGTTTTTCCCCGTCATCAAGCTACACACAATACCCCATAATGACAAAGCAAAAATAGTTTTTTTCAATTTAAAAAAATTGAAATATCACATTTACATAAGTATTCAGGCCCTTTACGCAGTACTTTGTTGAAGCACCTTTGGCAGCGATTACAGCATTGAGTCTTCTTGGGCATGACGATACAAGCTTGGCACACCTGTATTTGGGGAGTTTCTCTCATTCTCTGCAGATCCTCTCAAGCTCTGTCAGGTTGGATGGGGAAGTCACTGCACAGCTATTTTCAGGTCTCTCCAGAGATGTTCGATCGGGTTCAAGTCCGGGCTCTGGCTGGGCCACTCAAGGACATTCAGAGACTTGTCCCGAAGCCACTCCTGCGTTGTCTTGGCTGTGTGCTTAGGGTCGTTGTCCTGTTGGAAGGTGAACCTTCGCCCCAGTCTGGGGTCCTGAGCGCTCTGGAGCAGGTTTTTATCAAGGATCTCTCTGTACTTTGCTCCGTTCATCTTTCCCTCAAACCTGACTAGTCTCCCAGTCCCTGCCACTGAAAAACATCTCCACAGCATGATGCTGCCACCACCATGCTTCACAGTAGGGATGGTGCCAGGTTTCCTCCAGACGTGACGCTTGGCATTCGGGCCAAATAGTTAAATCTTGGTTTCATCAGACCAGAGAATCTTGTTTCTCATGGTCTGAGAGTCTTTAGGTGCCTTTTGGCAAACTCCAAGCGGGCTGTCATGTGCCTTTTACTGAGGAGTGGCTTCCGTCTGGCCACTCTACCATAAAGGCCTGATTGGTGGAGTGCTGCAGAGATGGTTGTCCTTCTGGCAAGGTTCTCCCATCTCCACAGAGGAACTCTATCAGAATGACCATCGGGTTCTTAGTCACCTCCCTGACCAAGGCCCGTCTCCCCCGATTGCTCAGTTTGGCCGGGAGGCCAGCACTAGGAAGAGTCTTGGTGATTCCATACTTCTTCAATTTAAGAATGATGGAGGCCACTGTGTTCTTGGGGACCTTCAATGCTGCAGAAATATTTTAGTACCCTTCCCCAGATCTGTGCCTCGACACAATCCTGACTTGGAGCTCTACAGACAATTCCTTCGACCTCATGGCTTGGTTTTTTCTCTGACATGCACTGTCATCTGTAGGACCTCATATAGACAGGTTTGTTCATTTCCAAATCATGTCCAATCAATTGAATTTACAACAGGTGGACTCCAATCAAGATGTAGAAACATCTCAAGGATGATCAATGGAAATAGGATGCACCTGATCTCAATTTCGAGTCTCATAGCAAAGGGTCTGAATACTTCTGTAAATAAGGTATTTCTTTATATATTTGTTATACATTTGCAAAAATGTATACAAACCTGTTTTCGCGTTGTCATTATGGGGTATTCTGTGTAGATTGGGGATTTGTATTTATTTTATCCACTTTAGAATAAGGCTGTAACTTAACAAAATGTGGAAAAAGTCAAGGGGTCTGAAAACTTTCCGAAGGCACTTTATCTCTTCAAAAAATAATGCATGTTCTAGCCATTTAGTTTTAGATTATTTCTCACAGTAAACAAAGTGGATTGATATGCACAGGATATCTTAATTTATTTCAGAAAAGTCAGACGAGTCACATTTGGGAATTCACTGCTCATTGCACAATCTCACACAAAAAGTTAGTTTTATGATTAAAAGTA